CCTTCGCGCTGGTCCCAGCCAGCTACCATGAGATGTGCAGACAAGTCCTCACGATATTTGTAGGTGATATTCCTCACCACGTTTGCAGCAGCCAGAACAAGTGGAGGTTCTTCCAGTTCCACCCTGAAGGAAGTGTTAGGAATAAAGGCTGATATAATTTTAAGTGTCACCTTCCTGTGCCATTACCATCATCCCCACCAAGTAACACCTGAAACCTACAGCTGCAACAGTTCAAACTCTAGCTTCCCTCCCACCTGCACAGGGGAACTAGGGTCCTACACCACCAACTGGTAAGCAGCTTAAAGTTGTTCACCTTCTTTCACTCAGCCCCTCTCCCCATCGCCTAACGACATAACTCTTTTGGCTGCAAGGGCTCTGCCCTTATGGGTAAAAGCAGATAAGCTTTACTTCTGTCCCAATGACCCTGATTTTTCATACTGTAGCTGCCTGATACTTTGGTGGGCTACATCATCACTTTCTTCCTGATTTTCTATATTAGGATAGTGACTTACAGTTTCCAAACTGCTTTCACATACATCATTTGATTTTCAAAATAACCATCTGGCCAGATAGGGTAGATACTACTATCTCCACTTCACAGTTGCTGAAAATGGCTTAGAGAGATTCAGGTGCCAGTTCAAAGCTAACAAAAGCAGGAGCTGAAACAAATTTTCATTTCCCAATGCAGTGCTCCAGGGTTGGGGGAGCTCTAGCGGGTGTGGAGTCAGGATCCCAGAGCTTCATACCCATGGAGCTCCAGCTGGTAGGTGGCCATGTCAGCCACAGCCTGAGCGTCGGCTGCTGAACCAGAGAGTGCACAGTAGATGCGCTGGTGTAGGGGGGACAGCTTGTCAAACACTCGGTTCACCACCGCCTCTCTGTCAGGATGGGGTCAACAGTCATCTGTGTTAGAGTTGCAGGAAACTTTGAGGCGGATCACCCACTATGTCTCAAACTTATTTGACAAGAGAATAGCTGAAACTTAATGCTTAGATTAAAGCAGGAAGGAAAAATTGTTTCAGATAAATCACTGCAAATATTAATAAAAATTAGACTTAATTTATAACGAAACAAAAAATATTAAGTTAAGAAAAATGTGTCTGATCAAGTTTTCTTTGCTATTAACCATCTTAAGGGAGTTATATTATATCCTATGAAACATAATGCAAGTGATATTGATCTAATTCCATGTACTCATTTTGCACATGAGGAAACTGGCTAAGAGGGGAGAGGAGACAAAATTCATACGACACGTATTAATGAGAAACCAGATATCTGCTTGACAGAACCAACTTTTTTATCTCTAACCATCGGTGGAAGGAGGGCCCCTCACAAATCTATCTGCTGTCTCCTTCTCAGATCCTATTCCTTTACACTGGTCCATGTACACTGCAGAGGCAGACCACATTCAGACCCCAGATACTCCTCCATGAATTCAGACCCAAGCACCCACCCAATATCTTATTATAGTGGCTTTTCAGAAAGGTCAGGTCCATTTCCCCAAAGCTCCAGCCTACCAGTATTTTTGTGAATGGGTAAGAAAAATATATATTTGGGGTTATTAGCCTTCTTCCAAATGTATATCTTCACTGGTACTCACCCCGCAGACACCCGGGAATCAGAGCCCACCACAACACCTCCATCAAACTCCACTGCCATGATGGTTGTCTGCAGAGACACAGAATATGGAATGTCAGAGCAGGAAGGTCCTTGATCCGCTCATGTTACAGAAGAGGAAACATTCCCAAAAAGGGAGGTGGCTGGCTTGGGGTCACACAGTCATTCAGGCCAGAGCTGACTCCCAGTACAGTTTTTTCCCTTCACCTTTCCACTTTCTCCATTGCTTCATCTGGCCGCAGGGAACTGTTACAGCCTGGCTGTGATACAACACAGAAAGAGCCATATCCATAAGCCACAATTTCCTAAGTGGAATCCTCTCCACTCTGAAGAGAGAGGTGGGGATGAGCTCCTAGAGACAGAAGTGCTCCCTCTGAGGGGTGGGTTCAGGGGAGAACCTCCCAACACCAGCGAAGAAGCCCCACAGTGAATTACCTCCACCGCATGTGCTCACTGTGTGCACATGTGCTACAGACCCAACACACAGTAAGTTCCTGTGAACCTGGGAAACAGGGTCAGGTCTTTTTTTGGCCCAGAATCCTCCACCCACCTCCACCTAATCAAAGGTGAGTTCATTCATCTGCTGAACAGTGTAAAACATTGAGGAGGTCATTGGTTAGCATGGCCAGGAGTCAAGGCAGGAGGGAAGTGACAAGCAACACACAGATGATTTATAATGAAAGTTTCACTTAATGGTTTTCTGATCAAGAGCTAAATAGATATATCAGTAGCCAGGGGAAGAGCTCTTTACAAAGAGAGGATTTGATTGGGGAGTTTGAGCTGACTTTTCTAGGTCAAGAAAAGAATCAAGGAAGAGTGGGGAAGAATAAAGTTATACTTTTTCTACTCCTGTTGAATAAGAAGGAGCCTTTAAGATCCTGGGTTTAAAAGAGGAAACTGAGTCATAGAAAAGGCAAATCATGTATCCAAGGTCACCCAGAAGAAATAGGAGACCTGGGACTAAATCCTAGATCTAATTGCCATCTCTTGTTTTGACTTCTGCTTCCTCCTTTCCACTGCTCATTTGGCAGTGAGGAGAGATTTTCCAGCTCATAAATGGTTTTACTGCTACCTTTCTCCCTACTCCATAAGTTACTCTGGCCCCCAGAGATACTACCCTGATTGCACTTTCTGACATACTGACCTATGAATAGAGGGACAAAGAACAGGGGTAACATCCTTGAGGCTATTCTTCTATAACAAAGCCGCCCCAAGCCAAGAGTGGTGGCAGTATTCTGAGCGCAGAAACCAGCCAGTCTTGGGGCCACCACCTGCTCCAGGCACCCATCCTGAGCAGGCGCATCCACCCAGCGGGCGCATGGGAGTGGGTAGGGAAGACACAGGGAAGGCAGAATGGCAGGACCTGGGCCAAGCAGGACCTGGACCTCTTCTGGGGTCAGGCTGGGGAAGGGCATCACGGGCTCACACAGTACCCCCATTATCGGTGCTTTGGGCTACGAGTAACCCAGGGAGAAGTTTATGGAGGGTGTGTCTGAACAGCTGGTCCTTCTCAGTAAGTGCCCATATTCTCTTCTCCCAAGTGCTGTTCTACCACAATCAAGGCACCATTTTCTCATCTGTTTGCACCGTCCCCAATCCCCTCTCTTGATTTAACCAGCCCCCACTGTCTAGACCAGAGTGAAAGCGAAAGCGCTTTACAGCCGCTTCCCCTTGACGCCTCCAGCTAAGAGCCAAAGCACCCCCTTCTCCACCAGCCTCGCGTGCCCCGTTCCTTCCCGGACCCCTAGACGACCCACTTCAGAATAGGGACACCCTGTGTTCACTGTGGAGTGCAAGCGCTAGCTGCCACAAGCCACCTTCCTACGTTTCACTTGTCGGCGGTTCCAAGATCCCGCTCCCGCTCCGCCTCTTCCATCCCTTTGCTAACCCTCGAGCCCAGACCCATTACCCCAGTGTGGACTTCTCCGGCCCGGGGTAAGTCCCCGGTTGGTGCTCCCGCCCGCAGCATCCCGGCGAGGCGCCGCGATGCTCGCTGCTTGGGGCACTGGTTTGCGACTGGGACAGCGCGCTGCGCTCAGCCCATAGCCCCGCCCCTTCACGATGCCCGCCAAGGGGGCGCGGCGTCCTGTGGGTGAGGCGCTAACCTGTGCCAGGCAGATCTGCCCGGAGACAGGTGACGAAAGAGCCCCGCCCTGAGGCTGTGGGGAGAAAGTTCCTGCAAGTGGATGCGGAGGAGGCGGGAAGATGAAGTAAGACTGTGCCTGAGAGAGAGGAAGGGAGTAAATGGGGCACCAGGATTGCTCCCCAGAACACCAGATCTGCTTTCAACGCCTGCTCCCCAGATAGTGTGGGCGGGCCACTTTTGGAAGTGGGCGGATCTAGTGAGCCAGCGGCCGCTTTCGATTTCCCCTAAACGGCTGCACTTCTCGCTAGCGCGACCAGGATCGGATCTGTATCTTGTCCCTGAGAGCCCCCCAAAATGAAAATTTACTATCAAGGATCTGGCATCCCCCTGAGGAGGCAGCTCTGAATGTCTGAAAGGCCTCTCATCAGTAATATTATTATTATTATTTTACGAGGGCCTGGGGCCAGCCAGCCTGCCAGGTTCAAATCTCAGTGCTCTCACATCTTTGCTGTGCGACCCTGGACAAGTTATCACACCCTCTGGGCCTCAGTTCCCTCATCTTTAAAATGGGCCTCACAAGGCTTCAATGAGCCTATACACATGAAGAGCTGTCTGCTACCTTTTATTGCTGTCATCCTTACTGATAAATGGTAGCTATCATCACTTTTGGCAAAAATAACAGGAGCAGCAGCCCTCAGTACGGTCAGGCCTGATTCATAAAGAGGAAACCAAGTCTCAGACTGGGAGGTGACTGACTCAATAGCACAGGGCTGAGGTCCCCAGCAGAGACTGGGCCATCTGTAATCGTAATAACTTCGTATAGCATACATTATACGAAGTTATACGATCTGCGTGGTGGGCTTGAGCCGGGGGGCCGTGCTGTGGCTGGGGGCCCGCGGGGTCCTCAAGGCAACGGCTGGCTCCAAGAGCGACAGCGCCCGGGTCCGGGGATGGCTGGCGGCTCTGGAGCCCCTGGCGGCGGCGCTGGGCTTGGCCCTGCCTGGACTCGCCTTGTTCCGAGAGCTGGGTTCCTGGGGAGTCCCCAGGGACGCGGACAGCACCAGGCTCCTGCACTGGGGGAGTCGCTTGGACGCCTTCGTGGTCAGCTACGCGGCGGCACTGCCCGCAGCCGCCCTGTGGCACAAGCTCGGGAGCCTCTGGGTGCCCGGCGGTCGTGGGGGCTCTGGAGACGCTGTGCGTAGGCTTCTAGGCTGCCTGGGCTCGGAGATACACCGCCTCCCGCTGGTCCTGTTCCTGCTGGTCCTCTCCTGTCTTGGTAAGGGGGACGCAGGGCAGAGGGGAGGACGCAAGGGGACTGGGCAGGAATCAAGAGTGATGCTCAGTGAGGTAGAGTAGCGTGGGTTCTGGGAATGTGGGTCAGGGGAAGGCGACCCAGCTCGGGTCCGGGGACCACTTCGTGCAGAGGAAAGAGCACCGGACTGGGTGGGAGTCAGGAGTCCCCGGCTCCAGTCCCACCCCAGGCCTTGCTTCACCGCGACCCACCACCGTGGGCAAATCCTTCCCTCTGGGGAAGAGCGTCCTCATATCTAACAGGACGGTGTTCTACTCCATCCTCTCTGTCCTTCTTAACTAAACCCCTGAAAGGTCTGGCGGGGAGACCATGGGTTGTGATTTCCAGGGCGGCCTATTCAGGTGCGGGATTGTGACCCGTGTCCTCTTTCTGCTGCTGCCTCCCGCGATCATGGTGAGAGGAGAGGCGTCGAGGGCAGGCTGATTGGAGCTGGCCTGCTTCGACTTCATATTTGTGGCTGACCAATCTCCTCTCTCTCTCCAGGGGAGATGGCCATTCCATTTTTCACGGGCCGCCTCACTGACTGGATTCTCCAAGATGCGGCTGCCACTGCCTTCACCCGAAATATAACTCTCATGTCCATCCTCACCATAGCCAGGTCTGGGCGCTGAGGAGGGGCAACCTTAGAAAACAGGGAGTTGGAAGATGGGGCTGATGTCCAAAATGCATTTGTGTGGGGATACCTGGGACCTTCGCTCTGTCTCCTGAGCACACCTCCACGTTCCTTCTCCCCCCTCTCTAGCGCAGTGTTGGAGTTCATGGGCGATGGGATCTATAACAGCACCATGGGCCGAGTGCACAGCCACTTGCAGGGAGAAGTGTTTCGGGCAGTCCTGCGCCAAGAGACAGAGTTTTTCCAACAGAACCAAACAGGTTTCTCATGGAACTTATGGAACTTCTCATGGAACAGTTCCTGTGTACTGTTCATATCCCCATATTTCTACCCCATACTTCCCTATAAACTTGATCACTAACCCCCGCAACACATACACATTGTTTTTTCTTATTCTTGATGTACCTCGTAGCAAAATATTGTCCTCTTTACCTTAAAAAAAACACGACTTTGTGTTTTCGTTCAGGACTTTCCCATACATCTATCCCTATGTGTCCCTAGATAGAAACTACAGAACTTCAAACCTGGAAATTTTGAGATCATGGGTTGAACTGCCTCATTTTACAGAGCAGAAAATTGAGGCCTAGACTTTCAATGCTGAAACTGGTATGTTCACATATGGCTGGAGACAGGCTTGGAGTTAGAACCTCAGTCACTTGGTTCCCAGTGTAGTGCTCATTACAGATTCCTGGGCTGCTTTTTTAGCGGCACCCTTCCTTCCCCTCTATCTCTGTTATATGACCAGTTTAAGCTCTTTCTGCCATGTTTATAGCAGGGGATATTCAACTTCTTTAAGGAACAGAAGGCTTTCAGAGGAACTGTAATTTACATGTGTATCCATTTCTTTATAGTTAAAATGAAGGGCTCTGACCAGGCTTTTCCTCTCTAACATTCATTCTCTGTGCATTGAGATTCCCAAACCTCCCCAAGTCGCTAACCTTGGCTTCCCTAGCCTCCTTGGAACCCTGTGTTGACCACCCTATCCCTGGCACCCTGGCTCATTGTTCCTTCCTCTCATCACTCTGAATCTGTCTCTTTCACTCCACTCTCTCCTTTCTGACCCTGGCAGGTGCCATCACATCTCGGGTAACAGAGGACACGTCCGCCCTGAGTGAAACTCTGAGTCGGGAGCTGAGCCTATTGCTGTGGTACCTGGTGCGAGGGCTGTGCCTCTTGGGGCTCATGCTCTGGGGGTCATTGTCCCTCACCATGGTCACGCTGGCTGCCCTGCCTCTGCTTTTCCTTCTGCCTAAGAAGCTGGGAAAGTGGTTCCAGGTACGTCCAGGGAGTTGGCTGCACCTACATAGACCCTCATCTCCAGACTTGGCAGACTCAGTTCCTCTCAGATTGTATTCAGTAAACTTTCTTGGTATCCTTACTGATTCTCCATCTTCATGGAACTCCTTGTCCCTATAGTTCATGTTCCCAGATTGCTCAACATCCTTCATATTCACTGTCTTCTCTTCTAACTCCTGCCCACCATCTGTCTTTAAGAATATGATTCCCCACCTATTGGGTCATTTTCCTCTCCCCTGGATCACTTTAGTATCAGGGGACATAGCTGTGTGCCTTTCTTTTCTCTCTTGTCCCTCTGCCTCTCCTCATCTTTAATTTCCAACTAGTTAATTCAGGTATTAGTATCCCTTATGATTTGCCAGCCATGTGTGACAGATGTCCATGTCTCCACAGTCACTGGAAGTACAGTTGCTGGAGTCTCAGGCACAGTCCAGCCAGGTGGCTATTGAGGCTCTGTCAGCTATGCCTACAGTCCGGAGCTTTGCCAATGAGGAGGGTGAGGCCCAGAAGTATAGGCAAAAGCTTCAGGAAATGAAGACACTCAACCAGAAGGAGGCCATGGCCTATGCAGTCAACCTCTGGACCACCAGTGTGAGCACCTGGAGATGAATACCCGTTCCCTCCTCCCTAAGATGCCTCAACTCCATTCCCTTCTCCACGACCCTGCTCCCACTCCTCCTCCACTGGGAAGTAGTTGGTTCAGTGTTTTCATCTGAGCGACCTGAGGCTCAATTACTCCACTCAGTGTCCCTAACCCCCGCCCTCTTTTTAAGGATGCTAGGTGCCTTCCTTTTACTATGGTACACAAAATCTATGTGTCAGACACATGAATTAGAGTGATGCCATGTCTTCCAGTTCTAGGGCCTTCCTTTGCCTCTCAGGGGCAGCTCAGGGAGCCATAAATTCCTAGACGTGGGCCCACTTCATGCTGATACTGTATGGCTGTGCTAGTGAGAGCCATGGGAATAGTGGAAGGCAGAGATGAGGGGCATCTATGACGTGATGGAAAAAGAACTAGACTCGTAATCAGAAGTTCCTGGCTTGATTCTGCCATTTACTAGCCCTGCAACCATGGGCAAGTAACTTACCTTTTCTGAGACTGTTTCCTCATTTAAAAAAATGGGCATGATATAACTTTCTTTATAGGGCCCTTGATACGAGTTTTAATTGACATCACATTCATGAAAGCCTTTTGTGAAGAGTAAAATCATCCCCAAACAAGGTGGTAATGGTGATGGTAATGAGGATAATGGTGACTTCTGTGATGTGTATTTGAGTCAATTTCTGCAGGCTCCCGGTGGTTTTCCTCCTGTCTGCCTATTAAGCCTGCTACTATTAATTGGGGGAAGGGGATTTTATATCTCCTTTATGCTAATGACTCTGGTTTTTTGAGTACCCTCTGGATTTTTTTTTACCACAATCCCCCTTTTCTGTGGTCTCTGTACAGATCTCAGGGATGCTGCTGAAGGTGGGAATCCTGTACATTGGTGGGCACCTGGTGACAAGGGGGGCTGTGAGCAGTGGGAACCTTGTCACATTTGTTCTCTACCAGATCCAGTTCACCACAGCTGTTCAGGTGAGGTCCCTCCCGTTTCACTCCCCAGTGCTATTCCTCCCCCCATTCCATCACCATCTGTCCACTTTCCTTCTGTTCTTTACCTGCTCATATCATATCTAATGCTGGCAAGCAGATTAGGGCTCCCCACACTTTCTCACTATTCACACCTCCTTCCAGGTACTGCTGTCCACCTACCCACGTGTACAGAAGGCTGTGGGCTCCTCAGAGAAAATATATGAATACCTGGATCGGACCCCTTGCTGCCCACCCAGTGGTCTGTTGACTTCCTTAAACTTGGAGGGTCTTGTCCAGTTCCAAGACATCTCCTTTGCCTACTCAAACTGTCCAGATGTCCCAGTGCTGCAGGTACAACCTACCAATCCCTGTACTCCGCTGACCCCACCCTTAACTCTGCCATCCTAAGTTTTCTTCCTGCATGTAGCCTGCTTATCACCAAGCACAGATCCTTCCTAACTTTTTAAAGGCAGTAATAAGCATCATCTGTTCCATAAATCTTTCCCAAACTCAAGTACTAGTTTGGGATCCCAAGGAGAATGGCAGAAGAGGTTTCAAAGAGAAGTCTCTTACATTCCAAGGAATTGTTGCAGCAAAAATCCATCCCCAGTCTTCCACACTTCCTTTTTATTTCCATTTGTGTTTCCTAATGTAATTTTTGCCTGTTTTCTGGTGGTATCTGATATCAAGTGTGTGGCATAGCGGTGCTCGGTCTTCACCCTTGTCTTTGTCTCATCTTCCATTTTCAGTCTTTGGGGAGGCATCATCCCATAAACCCGTGTATGTGGGAGGGTAGGAGTTTTCTCCTTTCTTCTCTGGGGTAAGACGTCATGCTATGTAACAAGACAATGACAGTCTCAAGGTCAGGGGCCTTGGTCTGACTCTTATTGTGCAATTCTCTGGCCTCCAGGGGCTGACATTCACCCTACGTCCTGGTGAGGTGACAGCGCTAGTGGGACCCAATGGGTCTGGGAAGAGCACAGTGGCTGCCCTGCTACAGAATCTGTACCAGCCCACCCAGGGGCAGCTGCTGCTGGATGGGAAGCCTCTTTCCCAATATGAGCACCGCTACCTGCACAGCCAGGTGAGCAAGAAGGTGGCATGGGGGAGGGCAGAGAGCATCAAGTAAGAAGACTGATCACTCTTAAAGGAGGGTTAGGGAATGATAGGAGACCTTGGGTGGAGATGGGGGTGTGGTCGGGAGAGAGGGCATGTGATTTTGCAATATGCTCTCAATAAAGATTTTGAATTGTCCATCTCTAGATAACCATACTCCTGTGTTCCTTGTTCTATGACTGTTCATAATTTTTTGTCTCAGGTGGCTGCAGTGGGACAAGAGCCACAGCTATTTGGAAGAAGTCTTCGAGAAAATATTGCCTATGGCCTGATCCAGAAGCCAACTATGGAGGAAATCACAGCTGCTGCAGTAGAATCGGGGGCTCATAGTTTCATCGCTGGACTCCCTCAGGGCTATGACACAGGTACTCTCTCCATTCATCTTGTCACTCATCATCTCTACCTTTACTGAAACCCCAGTGGTCCTGCCTTCATTCTCAAGTCTCTCCTGCCCCATGGACATCAATTCGAAGTTGTAGGGTCTTGTTCCTATGGTCTCTTCATCCCGACATCCTCAGAACCCCATTCACCTTCCTAGAACCTCCCCTATCCAGCTGCATCCATCAGTCCTTGGTGTGTGTGTGTGTGTGTGTGTGTGTGTGCACGTGTGTGCATGTGTGTGGACATGTGGCTATCCAGCTCTCATCTTGGCTCTTATCTCTGCAGAGGTAGGCGAGGCTGGGAGCCAGCTGTCAGGGGGTCAGCGACAGGCAGTGGCCTTGGCCCGAGCACTGATCCGTAAACCACGTGTCCTTATCTTGGATGATGCCACCAGTGCCCTGGATGCAAACAGCCAGTTACGGGTAAGAGTCATCTGAATGCCTATATCCCACCCATCTTGCTTCCTTTACTTATCCTGTGATAGTTAAACTAATATCATAATTATACAAACCAGTCCTTTAAATTCTTGGTTCCCATTAGCTTCTCCCCAAGACACCTAGAACCAGTTAAAAGAGACTATCTACAGCCTCTGAACCTTTAAAGCCAAACATAAGGAAAAGACTGTCCTAAAAATATTAATATTAATTAAGCTTGTACTATGTGCCAGACATTACTAGGCCCTTTACATGTACCATCTCATTTATTCATCATGAATTCTTGTGAGCTGGGCATTGTGATCCTTGTTCTACAGATGACAAAATGGAGGCTAAGAGAGGCTGAATAACCTGCTGAAGGTCATACAGCCATTGAATAGCAGAGCCTGGACCCCAATTCAGGTCTGCCTGACTGAAACGCTCATGCATTTTACTACTAAGTTATATTTCATTAAAATCTAATATAAAAATTCCCAATGCATAAGCGGAGAGGAGAGACATTCGATACTCTTTACTCTTCTTTTATGGGTTTTGCCATAGGACTCTTACCTCATGTATACAGTCCTTAACAAAACAAAGGTTTGGCAGAGAAGCACTCAGAATGGGAATCTTTGGTGTCTTTGTGGTTGTTGGCAGAGGCAGCAGTAATCTTGTGAAGTCTGTCCCAGCTGTGGAAACACAGATGTCACCCTGGGTTGGGAGAGGTCCCTGGCTCTGACAAAGGTGTATGTCTTCTCAGGTGGAGCATCTCCTGTATGAAAGCTCTGAACGGCGCTCTCGCTCTGTGCTTCTCATCACCCAGCATCTCAGCTTGGTGGAGCAGGCTGACCACATCCTCTTTCTGGAAGGAGGCACTATCTGTGAGGCGGGAACCCACGAGCAGCTCATGGAGAATAGGGGACGCTACTGGACCATGGTGCAGGCTCCTGCAGGTGCTCCAGAATGAAAGACTTCTTGGACCTGCACACACTATCTCCCTCCCCTTTCTTCTCTCTGTGGTGGAGAATTTGGGAGCAAAGGTCCTGCCTGAGCTGCAGAGTAGACAGCTGCTTCTAGGAGTAGTTACATCCTAAAATGGAACTCCCTAGGTGATCCCTAAAATTTGCCATGCGTTTTACCTCTTCTCCAGGCTCCACTTGATAATGCCGACTTTCTGGAAGAAAAAAAGGATTTATAACTCTTTAGTGTAACTGGGTTTAGAGCCAGGGTTGATGCTTTGGTGTGAATAGCACTCTGAAAATGAGGAGAAATATTTGGAAAGTACAGATAGGGATCAGCTACTTTCAGTATGACCAAAGACATGTGCTGCCCCATAAATACCCTGTGGATTCTTGATATTTATAATAAAATTGGTGTTTTGTACTGTGGTTTTTCGCGTTTCCGGCACCCTTAACGGCCCATTGTCTTTCGCAGCGAACTTTCCAGCAGCCTGGTGTCTCCCTCCTTTAGCATCCTCAGTGTTTTACAGCCCTAGGTGCACCATCTTCTCCCTTAAGTTTTCTATTTCCTGAGTCCCCCCTCCACCTCCCCACCCCCCCGCGCCCGCCCCCAAGGAAGAGCAAGGTCCCCGCCAGGGCGCCAGCAGCTGCAGCTCGGAGCCGTGGCCTTCCTGAGGTGGAGGACGGAGGGCGCGCGGCCAGAGGAAGTGCGAGCGCGCGCAGGGGCTGGCGGCGCCTCACACTTCACCCGCGCCGGCTCCGGTGCCTTGTGAAGGGCTCATGCGGCTCGGGACTGGCACCTGCCGGGGGGAAACCTCAGGGTGGTGGGCGGGGTTGTCTAGTAAATCTCTCCCATTGGCGGGTGGGCAGAGTCGTGTGACGTTAACAGTTGCTGGGCAGATGAGGCCAGCGCAGGTTGCGAGGAAGGGCGGGGTTTAGAGAAATTAAGCTCAGCAGCATCCCGCCAAGCACAGGGCAGCTCGCGGTGGAGCAGGGGAGGACAAAAAGGGCATGTTCTTGTGGGTGGCCGCAGGTTAGGGAGACCGTTGAACCGGAAGGGACCCTAGGAGGGACCATGTCGAAAGAGTCAGAGACTGCGCCCTCTCCTTGGCGTCCCTTCCCCACACGCTGCGGGTACATTCTATTGCCTGTTGCCCTGGGACCTGTTCTCAAGACTCAGAGCCCCCACGTACTCCTATCAGTCCCCTACTTTTACACAATAATGCTCATTACTACCCCTCCCCATCCCCCACTCCCACGACTTCAAAGTGCTCCCAGCACCTTGCTGATTACCAGCCTTCTGGTTGAGGCTACGCCTTCAGGTGACACGACCCCACCCCACTGTATCGAGAGGATGCCCGGCCTGTAGGTGTCTCTCCTAATCTATCGCCAAGGGCTTTCGAAGGTGCTCGTCCTTGTCTTCCTTTCTTCTGACAATCCTTTACCATCGTTTCTCCGGCCTCCGTGAAGGTAGAGCAGAGAAACCCACTCCCACTATGATATCCCCGGTCCAGACAACCATCGTCCTTTTCTCGGAAAGAGCAGGGGATGTGGAAGAAATTCTGGCTCCCTCCCCTTCGAGCTGTGGCTTTCGCTTTCACTTCCTCCTCCGAGAGCCGACGGATCTCCGGGTGCCAGGCGATCATGGCTTTACTGGACGTGTGCGGAGCCTCCCCAGCGCAGCGGCCGGACTGGGCTTTGCCGGTGACGGGAGGAAGGCATCGCTCGGACCCGGGCCACTACAGTTTCTCTATGCGATCTCCGGAGCTCGCCCTCCCCCGGGGAATGCAGGTCTGGGCTGTAAGGGAACCTCGAGGGATGAGGGGAGGAGGGCGCAGAGTAAGGGAGGGTCTGCCTCGAGACTGCCCGGAGGCAGAGGCGAGGAAACGCGGAGGGGGCATCCTTCAGCCCAGCAGAGCAACATCCAGGGCCCGACCCAGGGAAGAGGCCACGTGGGGATGGGGGCACAGATTAGGGCAAAGAGTTGTAGGTGAAGAGGAGGCTCCCATAGGAAGACGAGAGCTTTCCTGCCCTTTCTTCACCACACAGGTCATGAAGCCTTTTTTCATGGTGTTATCATATGATATAGGGGCTGTATAGTGTCTTGGAAAGCTATGAACGTTGGCGTCTAGCCTGCCTCAGCAACTCAGTGTTGTGTGATTTAGAACAAGTCACTTAGTCTAGGTTTCAAGTCCCTCGTCTGTAAAATGAGAATACTGTTAATAAAAGGTGTTTTGTGAAGGTGGAATGATCTATGCATGGAAAAAACCCTCAAAGTCATCCTTCAAATGTTTAGTTATAGTACCATTTGTTTTCTTTCATTTCTATTGCACTGGAAAATGGACCAGGCTGGTGCCGTGTGCCTCTTCTTTTCCTTCTCCCAAGCCATTTCCTTCTAGAGACTCCTTATGGTTAGAGAATTTCTGCATATCTCCTCATCCTCATACTCTCTAAAACCCTTTCCTGGAGCCTCCTGCTACAGAAATTTTCATTGCCTCTACTTCTTCTGTTATTAGCCCACTGACTTCTTCCAGTCCCTGGGTGCAGACAGAGAAAGAAACATTCAGATTGAGATGGCCCATGGCACCACCACGCTTGCCTTCAAGTTCCAACATGGAGTGATTGTAGCAGTGGATTCTCGGGCCTCGGCTGGAAGTTACATTGGTGAGTGTGAGCTCCAGGAGGCAGAATCTGGGGAGCTGGGCTCTCCTCTCGGCAGGAGCCCAACATCTGCACCAAAGTGAAAGTGGATATTGATTTAGGACACACAGAACTGTGTGATCATCCCTCCTCTCTCAAAACTCCATATTCTTCCAGCCACCTTACGGGTGAACAAGGTGATTGAGATTAACCCTTATCTGCTTGGCACCATGTCTGGCTGTGCAGCGGACTGTCAATACTGGGAGCGTCTGCTGGCCAAGGAATGCAGGTAAGGCAGGCCTCTCATCTCCCTTTCTCAGCTTAGTGGCCAATTCCTGGATCTCCTAGCACTGCACCTCACCCTTGCCCCATGTGGCCCATCTTAGTGCTAATAGAGTATTTCACAAAACACCCTTTTAGTGATAAAAACCTCCAAAATTTCAGACTATACTCCTGCCCATAAGCCAGATAATTTGTCAATGATTTAGCACTGACACCATCAACCCTGGTGGGATGGTATTACTTACTAGGCTTTCTTTATGTGTTTTAGATACTTTAAATTCCAAATCTTTCCCTGATGCTCAGATCCTACAAAATAATTCCTTTCAAATGCTTATCTCTTCAACCTTGTCTTGCCCCATCAAGTGGGAAAGAGCTATCTTCTACTGCAACCTCTAAATTTCAACAACCCCCCCCCCCCCCCGCCC